TTGTACTTCGTTACTTCCCATGTCTGAATATTAGGAACTATATTTATCAAACATTGGGCAAGTAAAAATTGTTTCTGGGCAAATGAAACGTGAAAGTCACTTGCCCTTTGGGCAAGTGGTAAAAATCCTTAACGTCAACCCCTGGACATGTTCTGTAAAAAATAGGTTCAGTTAATATTAAATAAAAACTCCTGAAAGAATGAAACTAAATGTTTTGATGCTAAAGTTATGGTCTCCATAACAAACTTACTCCCTGCCTTAAATCTTAAGCATTTTTATAGACTGGTGTTCTTGGAAAAGCACCTTTAAGGCCTTTCAAAATACATAGACTTAAGCCTCATTTCCACTACATTTCCACCACTGCAAAAAACGATCTAGAAATAAGTAAAAAAATTCTTAAATTAAGTGTATTCAGCCTTAATTTGAGTAGGTAAATGAGATAGTTTGCCAATCGAATGAGTAATTTTACTCTTAAAATAAGATAATTAGATAAAATGCACTTGAAATAAGACAATGCAGTTGTGTTTTCTTATTTTAAGTGTAAATTGTCTTGTTCCATTGGCAAAATGTCTCTTTTACCTCCTCAATTCAAGAACAAATGTACTTATTTTAAGAAAAAATTACTTATCAAGATTGAGATTTTTTGCAGTGAGATATTTGTAGAGTGAAAACGGCACGCACAACTGAACCAGACCGTGCCAGACACAACTAAACCGCTCTAAACTGGTACTAGTTAGTTCCATTAGATCGCACTGTAGAAATAAACCAAATTGAATTGTAGAGAGCATAGTTGTGCGCTAGCAGTGTAGCAAGTGTTGGCTTTTAGGGGTTAAAGTAGAAGGGGCCAGGGGAGTTATTAATGATGTGACTTGGAGAGTAGCTGTGAAGTGAGAAACGGTGCAATCATTAAACCTAACAGATGCTGCATGTCCAAACATGCCAGCTTCTTGTATCTCCAACTTAAACCTCTAATAAGCTTCAACGTTTAGTTTTCCTATTGTTTTTCAGCAAATTGAAAAGCGAATAAAGCTGATGTTTGGTGCTACTGGATTTTTAGTTAAACCATCATGGCCCAAGTGATGTTAGATTTGTGCAAGAAACCCAGCGGCTTACACCATGCCTGTAATGTAGATGTCAGCACTTTAAAGGACTCGTATTCATTACAGCACATGTTCAGATCTGCTTGAGGCTGAATGATGGTGCAGTGCAACAGTCCTTTCCTAAGCTGTGTCATTGTCAGTCAGTAATTCATCCTAGCCTAGCAGAACACTTGGACGAGAAAGGGAATGCCTGACTCTCTGGACTAGCTGCTACACTTGGGGGAGGAGACCGAGACACACCCAAATGCTCCCAGTCCAAATTCCTCGGGTGCACCAGAAGAAGCCAGCAGCCAAAGCGCTGACACAGAGGTTGGAGATGTTAGAGGTACTGTTTGTAGAGATTCTTGCAATGAGGAGAAATAAATCACCTTATTTTATTCCAATTATAGGTTTTCCTCCTGCAGGAATTTCACCATCATGCAAATGTATATCTTCCTGCTGGCATATTTCCACTTACATAAAAGAGTCCAACTGTGATTAGCATTAAGGTTCCTTAACATATAAACACCCCTGAGTGAAATAAGTCGACAGAAGCAGAGTTTTAGGGCAGGTAGACACAAACAAACAGGTTGCTCAATGAGAAAAAGCTCCTAAAGATGGAGGAATTAGTTCTTGCATATTAGATCCAACTCCAAACTCCAATCCATTAAATCCTCTCCTGATGCTCTGATTCAGCGCACAGACAAGGCGGTGCAATGCTCCACACTGCTTAGCGTTACGTCAGATAACTTTCCTGCTGCCTCCCGTCGTCACATTAGAAATTCTGACTTGGCCTAGTTTGTGTGAACTGGGAAAAGCAGCCCTGCTCATCAGCGCGGACCGGGCATGTGTACCGGCTGCACATGCACAGCTGTTTCAGCTGTTTGGAATCAACAGATGCACGGGGCAAAATTAACATAATGAATGCCAGAGAAGTATGTGCAGCCACAAGGCGCCTGCAGGCCAAATCGCGGGCCCTGTGATACATTATCAGCAGCGAGAAGGCACACAGATAAAGGCCCAAAGATTTCATTAAGGGGTCCTGTTTACCCACAGAGATAAAGCGGGGTGCTAACACGGTCCTGCTGGTGAGCGCCACTCCCCCGTGCACAGTAGCTGACGGAAAAGCAACAAAAAAAAAAACAACACTTTGAAATAAATATGTTGAGAGTGGGAGCTGGAAGTAAATGAGCTCCTCCAATTCAACCTGAATCCCCCATCCTGTGTAAATAAGCCGTCAATGGCTGTCACCAAAGCGCCACCCCAGCCAGGACAAAGCACGGCTGCTGCGTGGGCTGCCGCTGCCGACTGTAATTGCAATCTTTCAGACGGGAAATGGCAAATTGCTCCTCTCATCATTAGCAACAAGCTAAGACAGAAAACAGACACCCAAGCCTGCAAACATAATTATGATGACATGCTGGGAGGCAGACGAGCTGCTAGAGAACACATCTGGAGCTTTCATGAGACCGCAGCAAAATGACTCAACGGGGTCTGGATCAGGGCTCTGGACTGTGTCCCCACCCCCCACCCCCCCGCATGTGGCTTCACAGGGTTTTTCTTTTTTTAGCCTCAGCGACTGCCTGGCAGACTCACTTGTGCAGGCTACAGATGGCAGGTCGGAGAGCGCTCGGTAGTAGCCGTCCTCACAGTCGCAGCGCCATGAGCCCTCGCGGTCGTTGAAGCTGTGCGCCGGACAGCGAGAGCACTGGAGGTCCTGAGAGGACGACTTGTAGAAACCACGACCGCATGCTGTGGAAGGCAAACAGAAACAGGAAATCAAACAGGCTGATTGGCATTCAAAGGAACATTATTATGGCTCATTTAAAGGAAACACTTAAACAGAAGCCAAAATATCAGAACGGGAATTTGGACGACATTATGACCTCATGCTGTGTTATATAATACTTTAATCTACGTTTCATAGCATGTCCTTGTTGCTTCTTCAATATAATAGCTGGTTTAGCTAACTACTGTAACTCTAACTAATCTCCAGCACAGAGCAGCTCAGAGGTAGAGAGAAAGCTGGGAGCGGCTTAATCAAAACCAACTCTTTCCATTTAAATATATGTCTTCAATTTAGGGTTGTCAAAAGTATCGATACTCAAAAAAGTATTGATACTGAAATGTTGTATCCGGATACAATACTCATTTTTAAAAGTATCGATACAGTGCTACCACCAGTGGCACCTAAGCAGTCATTCATCACATATTTGTATCTGTGTCGGTATAACACTCGCTTTTACTTTGTAGGTAAAATTTGCAAACATTTTAGCATGCAATAAATGTTGAGTGGAAAACAAAAAGTCATAGATTTTACAGATCAATGAATATTACATCTATAAAATATTGATCATTTTGTTAAGAGCCTTTTGTTAAGTGGCACTGAATATTTAACGTGTAATAAAGTCATAGTTTGGATTACTTTTGAAACGAAGCTAATTGGGTTTCTAGTCGGCAGAATTTATCATTCTTCCTTGGAGAACAAAGCATCTAAAACATTCTCTGTTTGAAGATTTAGAAAAATTAACTTTAATGATTACAGATTTAACCATTTATACTAGAAGTTCACAGACATTTAAATCAACAATATCGAGTAACAACATCTCTCTTATGGTCAATAGTTTTCTGATATTATATCCTATATGCATCCAACCAATTTTCATACCATGAAAAAACAACCAGGGCTAACGTTAGCCCGTCTACAGCAGCCAAGGCTAACGTTAGCCCGTCTACAGCAGCCAGGGCTAACGTTAGCCCGTCTGCAGCAGCCAGGGCTAACATTAGCCCGTCTACAGCAGCCAGGGCTAACGTTAGCCCGTCTGCAGCAGCCAGAGCTAACGTTAGCTGGTCTACAGCAGCCAGGGCTACCGTTAGCACATCTGCAGCAGCCAGGGATAACATTAGCCCGTCTGCAGCAGCTAGGGCTACTGTTAGCCGGTCTGCAGTAGCCAGGGCTAACGTTAGCCCGTTTGCAGCAGCCAGGGCTAACATTAGCCCGTCTGCAGCAGCTAGGGCTACCGTTAGCCGGTCTGCAGTAGCCAGGGCTAACGTTAGCCCGTCTGCAGCAGCCAGGGCTAACATTAGCCCGTCTGCAGCAGCT